GTTACATCTGCAAAATTTTTCCTCGCCCTAAGGACTTACGAGCATAATAACTTTACATCGAATAAAGAAGTTTAACGTCTGAGGAATTTAAATTAGACACATGTATCTACTTAATATGTCTGAAACGAAAACTTTTGCATTCTCCCTAAAATCTTTTCCTATCTGCTGTGATTGTCTAAATGACAAATGGCTTCATATTTACTTAGTAAGAATTTTTCAGGCATTTTAACACTGAACACGAACGAGCTTATGATGAATCTAAATAAAATACTTTTCCCATAATAATGAAACTAAGTTGTAAGAAAGAAGTGCAGAAATTTCCAAAGTGTACGAGAGAATCTTCCAAAATGTCCAATCACGTTTTTTTGATCGAAACTGGCTTCATATAATACGATACATGATTAATGTCAAAATTTAAGAAGGTTGAGCTGTGTAAACTTTTGTTCTTGCAACGTCGAATATTGACTATAATTTTCAACAGAACTCTATGGCGCCCATGAAATCACCATAAAAGTTGAATTTAGAGCGTAGTTCTTGATGCAGTCAAAGATATATTTAGTAATTTAGCCTGCATTAGTTACCTAAGGTCGCTTAGAAAGTATTTGAATACTCATAGGATTCTTTCTGAATATGTCATTGTCTTTGAGTCAGCATTTAGGTAAGGAGGAAACATCTAATGTTCCGAAAAACATTCTTGCGACATTTATTAGTCATTTTAGGAGATAGACTTGCTTCTTACCGAGTCGTGTAAATAACTGCAGACCAAATCATAATTCCTTTGATGTCAAACGAAAATGTTGAGTAATTTTTATTCTGATTATACCAGATAAAGACCAAAGCACAATGACATCAGATAATAACGAAGCAAATGCATTCAAGAGACCTATTGCTAAAGTATAAACATTTTCAACATATAAATTAATATCCATTGATATTCTTTGATCTGGATTATCATTTTTTAACAATGACATATGATAATAAGCATGTTTAGATAAATATTTGCTAAGAAAATTGTTAGGTAACCAACGTCGCCAACGAAGTTGAAGCAACTGTACTAGATAATTTTTATAAACTGATACGATTATAATTGCAATAACAATGAAAATGAAGTATAAGAGCGAATGAAGAAAAGCTAATTGATCGAAGCTTTGAAATGTATCAATAAAATCTTTATTCCAATATCTTAATAATACATTCAAACCGACACTAATCAATTCCATAATGATCAAAATTAGAAACATACATCGAGCATAGATACGTTCTTCTGAGAAGAAGTACACGAGAGAAAGACGCCAATTATCGACACATAAAGAAATCAAAGCATGCATTTCTTTTTGCTGAAAGAAAATGAAAAAAATAGTATCCAGAACAACAATCAGCTTTTTATATATTACTCGTCAGGAACCGGTGTTTCTCCCTTCATTCCCACAATATTTTCTTGTTCTCATCCATACGTCATGAAACAAGTGACGTGTAGTGTGCTTATTGTTTTTGTTGATCTTTGTTTATAAGGTTATTTCCATTGTTTCTTATCTGATCGAGAAGTCACCAGAAATTCAATGATTGCATATAGAAAATGGAAGCTTAGTCAGAAATTTTATTCAAATATTCTAATGAAACCTTAATAGCATTATATCTCTATTTCTTTCGATTGTGATAAACATAAATCACAAAAGATGTCAAATGTTTTAGCAAAAGTGTGTCACCCGACAGCAAACAAAATGAATAATTCAATTCTTTATGATTTCCAAGTAATATGACGTGCGGGTGTGGGTGTGGGTGTGGGGTGTGGGTGTGGGGTGTGGGTGTGAGTGGGTATGAGTGTGAGTGGGTGTGCGGGAGGGAGCTGATTGTCTCTTAAACAGCACCCACACCCAGCCGCACCCACACCCACGCCCTCCCACACCCATACCCACACCCACATCCACACCCACACCCTTCCGTAGCGATTTTGAAATTTATCGTTCTCGCGTTCAACGAACGCAAACTTCTTGAAACTTAGGCAGATTATTCTGCGTATCAAGTACTACAGAACTACAAAGTTTCAGGTCGGTAGCTTGTACTATGGATGAGAACCAGTAACAACACTATCATGTAGGGTGTGGGTATACATGTGGGTGTGTGTGTTTGTCTTGTCTTCTGTTTTGAGTGCGCCCACTCTCTCACACCCACACCCACACCTTCACACCAACACCTTCACACCCACGCCTTCACATCCACACCTTCACACCCACACCACACACCTACACCCATACCACACCTATACCCATACTCACCCCCACACTCTCACACGCACTCCCACACCCTCCTTCAATTTATTTGTTTTGTTTTCCTTTATCAATATTATTTCTTTTATGCTTTTATTTTTAATGTAGAGCCCTGATAAGTGTTTTATGATTTAAATAAATAACACGAAACACATCAGCGCAATTAAGCTCTACATTATTTTTTAATTGTTTTTACTTAAGCACATTTTAATATAGATATTATTCAACTTTCGACAAACTCGATTGTTGAAAAGAAAAAGTTGAGATTAACAGATTGACGTCTTTTTGTTTAGAGATAAATTGATCTATTTTCGATTGATTTAGTCATGCCTGCACTCACTTCCAACTGAATAACCAGTAGCATATATGTTCAGAACAACGTAGCGATTCGGGTTATCACATTTCACATACAACTTACGGTTCGACGCACAGTGAATAAAATCCAATGTTTCCGAATCGTAGGATACAGCGTTCGACGTGTAATATCGCAAACGTTTGAAACGAACATATTTGTTTCCATCACATTCCGTCCAAAACCATAGAGCCATATCCCTCTCGTCATTGTTGATCCCACTATAAATTGATACTGTAGCTGAAAATTGTTTTGCGGTATCTGGAATATTGTTTGGAATATCAAAAGCTAGTGTGCGGTCAGTGTCAGCGCCAAATGATGCAATTGCAGTTGGATAGACGCCGGGTTCAACGAGCCATTTGTCGCTCTTACCTAAACCATCATATAGAATCGTTTCCGCTGAGACAATAAAAGGCTTAAATGCTTACATGTTTGAGCATTGATCGTTGTTTTAGCCACTATCGTTATCAATAGCAAAATGACAGTATTCGCTGCCATGAGTAGCAGTATTATATGATTAAAAAAGCAGCGACTATGCCTCTTACACACCCAGTCTAATGGCTACTGTTCTTCGAAAATAAATAGGAAGTTATATTTGTTGATTTGAATAACGTTTTACATTGCAAATTATTAATCTCATTCTAAGTGGCCATGCAAAGAAAATATTAATATGTATGAGCTGATTTTCGATCACACAAGGTCTATCAAAGTGTGAATGGGTGTGGGTGTGGGTGTGGGTGGGTGTAGGGATGCACCAGTCCCAGTTCTGACTGGTGAACTGGGTCCCAGTCGGACTGGGTGTCCAGTCCGACTGGATACCCAGTCCGACTGGGACCCAGTCGCGACTGGGTACTAAGTCCTTTGATATTTAGTCCTTTAGTCGAGTAGTACTTTCTTTTCGAGTATATTGCCATACACTGA